CTTTCAGCACCTTGTTGAATCAATGCCACATAGAATTAAGGCAGTTCTGAAGGCGAAAGGGGGTCAAACACCGTATTAGTATGGTGTTCCTAATTATCCTTTAGGTGAGTGTATATGCATACAACTTTGACTTTGTATTATGAATAAAATGCTGAAATGAACAACCCTGTAAAAATATTGTTTACTTGTTCGTGATATTCTGTCATGGACATAATGATTCATATCTCCTTATTTGTGTACTACTGTATGTGTTTTGGAGTTGTTTTATCCTCGAAATGTTGGGTGCTGTCTTGATCTTGAAGGTCTGATTTATGTGCTATGCCTAAGAGGCAGGTGGCATTAATAGTTTTGTGTTGTGTGTTTTAGCTGCTGTAAGATAAAATTCCTTAACTAGAAGTGCAACGGACCAGGAGGCGGAGAAAAACATTCAAAGATGCCTTCAGTTGGCCCCTGACATGGATGGAGGAAGGAAGGAACATGCAAAAGGGGCAAATGACACTTAATTACATTGTTTGCAATATATTTACTTGTTTTGTATTTGGATTTATTTGTCTGTGTTTTTGACCCCCCAAATTTCACATTTTATTAACTGGTTTTACAGGGCCATGTTCTTAGATATTTTGTATGTTGTAAAGTGTTTTAAATGCCTCATCTGTTTGTTGAAGTTACAAAGTGAAGTGTAATTAAATATAATTATAAATCAGTTTGTTGAAAAGCATTTATATATTGTTTATAGTAAAAGTAAAAATAAACTTTATTGATATCAGTTGTGTAGCCATTGTGGTTTATGACGTCACTGGGCCTGTTATGGCCCAAATCAGAAAATCCATGTCTGGGCCGTCAATGGGCCATCATTCTTTGTGGTATTTGGGCCAAAGGAAAATGAAAGTAAAAGAGGAAAGTGTGGGCCAGATCTGGCCCAAAAGAATTTTGCTATCTGGGAGCTAGTTTTAAAATTTGTTTTAAAATACAGTGATTACAGAAAAAAAGATAGACAAATTAGGTAATACTAATGAAAATATTAAAATGTGCAAATTAATAGTAAAACATGTTTTGTGATTTTAGGAGAGGAAGGGATACATTAAAACACGATTACATTTTTTCCTCGATAATGAGAAAAAGATATGGAATTTTACATCATGATAAACGAGAGCTATAAGTGATTACTAATTATTGATAACTAATTTCCTGTATGATCTTTTTCCCCCTCAATGTTAAAAGTATTTATATGTCAGGGTGCCAGTCAGTAGAAGCACAAAGACACCTTGGCCAGCTGTCTGATTCATTCAGCACCAGCCAAACAAGTAGAGAATTCAGCACCACGGACAGTGACCTGTGTTACTATGACACCAGGTTCCTTCATTAGCTCTATATACTTTTCTAGAATAGAAATAACTAAATGGCTCTGTTGCAGAAATTTCCAGCCATAGACTTGGTTCCTATATGAAGAGGATATTTTATTTTTAGTCTGACTACTTAGTATTCGCACATCTTCCCTCAGGTGGTCGTGAGCCCTTCTGAGGAGAGCTACGTTAATTTGCTCTCTAATTTTTCACTCTAATTTTTCTGTCTGTTAATGACATTAAAAACTACAGTACAAACCTTAAAGCTCTGTGATTATCCTGTTCGCTGTTGAAAAAGTGTTTTGTAAGAAAACGTCCAATGGGTTTCATGCTAATCATTTGTGACCCAGTGGTTAAAGGAATTTTATTTAATTCATAAATAAAGATAAAGATGAAGGGGACAGAGGGGAGGAGGGAACTGTAGCCAAGGCAGGCGGAGGTGCAGTCACAGATACAGGCGACCGACAAGTCGCAGTCAGGGGACCTGTAGGTGACCGATGAGTAGTCGGTGACTGGGCCACAGCTGGCCGATAAGCTGCAGGCAGGGGACCCGCAGGCTGTCGAGGAGGTGCCGAAGGCCAGGCCATAGCCGGCTGACAAGGCACCACGGGTGAAGCCGGGGGTCCCCGCCGAGCTGGAGCCTGGGGGAGCAAAGGCTCGAGCCAGTGAGTCGAGCCCAACGCCAGTGTCCCCTCCCTTTCCGGGAAACCGAGAGGTGGGAACCCGGCCTGGATCCGCCACAATGACGCAGAGGTTGAGGTGACCCATCAGAGGGGTCCACCGGGGTAGTCAGGGTTATACCCAAGGGGTCCCACTCCAGCTCCTTCAGCTCCAACAAGGAGAGAGGAACTAAGGAGACTGCAGCCGAGGGGTCAGGGACCCAAGGGACTGCATCCAAGGGGTCTGAGACCAGGAGAGCTGGGGTCCAGGGGCCAGAAGCTGGGGAAGGTGGAGCATCCTTCACCAGTGTGGGAACTAGTGTTGTTTTCGTCAACGAAAACTTT